GTCTGGGGCTTCGACGAGGAGGGCGAGTTCAGGACCATGTGGCGGCGGAGCGGGCACCCCGGATTCTGGTTCATGGGGGGCAATCTCGCCATCTGCCGGTACTTCTCTAAGATTTTGGCATTGCAGATCAAGGCCGTTGAAGAAGGCATCGACCAGGCTGGGCAGCCCGACCCCTCGCCCAGGCTCTAGGTTTTGATACCCGATGGAGTTTGCGTAGGGTGCTGTGATTAGATGCGGGCGCAGAAGATGTAATTATTCCCTGTCAGACAGATTCAATGGACGTTTTTTCTCAACGCTCACATGACCACTAGCTCTCTGTCGGTGAGCCATCTTGCGGGACCTGATATCATCTCGACCCCTCAGTGCAGGCTCGGATCTACGGCGGGAATGGCGAGTCGAAATGAGTTCCCGCTCTTCGTGCTAGACAAGCCCAAAGACACGTGAATTTCTGCCCCCAATTCGCGATTCCACGTTGCCATCACCAAGTGGGCACTACAGGGGCCGCATCGTCAGCTTCAGGAAACTGATCAGCGCCGAAAGACGGATTGGGCCAAGTGAAGACACGGTGAAATTGCACAACTCTCATAAAAAACCCTCTTTGGTCCAGCAACGCAGAGCTTAAGACCCAGCCTTATGCCCATCTGTTGATCGCGTCCCTGGCCGATGTAACGTGAGCGTCTCACGTCCACTCATTCCGATCGCCGGCACGGTGCCCTCGTGGCCCTCACAACAGGCCTGACTGCCACCCACAAGGTTCTCCATCCTCCAACACAAATCTTCTTTTGCAACCCGGGAATATCGGAGGCCTGAAAAGGGTCTTTTAACCTCTGTGGACCTGCTCAATTGCGCAGGCAGCCTGGGCTATTTTGCCCTGTTCGCCGTGAGTGATGGCCATCCCATCGGCACCTACCGGCCGATTTCCTATCCACCCTGCGGGCAGAAGATTTTCGTCGCAATGCCGATCACTAGGAGAATATTGGGAACTATTGAAGCTTCTAAGGATTTAGTTTTATCTCTCGTCCTCTGGCTTGCGAATTTTGGTTCTCTCCGGTGAATTTAATGGAGAATTTTGCATCATCAGAGATGCGCGCGGTGGTTCCGAGGTGGGCTGATCGTCACTGTCAGAATGTCAGTTGACATTTAGCGGCTGCGATCATCGACTCCTTCGCACTGACAACGCCACAAATCTGTTCTCAACTGCGCCGGCTGTTCGTCGGCTCGCCGGAGCACCGGAAAGAACTCTTCGAAGCCGCACGTTCTTCTTCAGCCGTTGGAACTAAAATGAGTCCCTTTTGTAACCGGTTTTCAGGAGCATCGGAACAGTGGGCCGTGTTCCAACACGAGGCAATAAGCCCGCTACGAAAAAAAGCAATGTTCAGTGGTTCACGGAGGTCGCGCAATGTCTTAACGAGAGGTTTTCCAGAAGGAGAGAATAGAGCGAAATGTATGCACATGCGCCGCAGACAAGGATCGGAATCCGCGCAGATTCTGCGACGCGGGACCATATCCATAGTAAGCACCTCCACCACACGCCGAGGTCGCACCGCCGGTGATGTTCCTCGATTCTGTGGCCCTCATCACGTCACTCATCACAGCATCTCCCACAACCCGGCAGGGTCGTTGCAAATTTACCAAGTCTGCCGGGAACTCACAAGTCCGTCCGACATGAAAGAAGAAAACCTAAAAAGCGTTATCCCACTGGCGAGCGTTGCGTTGACACAAGTCCCGAGATGCAGGCCTCGCACCTGCGTCGAAGCTGATTGGAGAGGCCATCAACACGCTACGCAAGCGGTCGTCTGCTTCATTCAGGGGCCGCTGTCTGGGCAGCAGAGAAGAATCGGTCTAATGTTCTGCAGCAGCAGCGGCAGCCAACTGAAGGATTCCCTCCTCCCGGCACAAGCATCTTTTCGATTTGTAAACCCCGGTCGGCGAGCTGCGTCTGCAATTGGCCCGCGAAGAAGGTCATCTCACACCGGGGAATCATCTGTTGGGGCAGAAGCCTCGAAACATGGGAGGGCCCCTGGTCATCGGGCTACCACCCTACGGCCTAGGGTGTGGTCGATTCTCACTCGTTGGTGGGCCTGGCGGGATGCTCATCTCCTTTCCCCGGACTGGTAACTATCGGAGGCAATCCCTGCATGATGGCCTTTCTCAGGGCACCAATGCCACTACGCGAGGAGATCGAGTTGCCCTCGACTAGCGCACTCAGCCTCTATTACGACGTTCAACCGAGGTGAGGTACACCCCATGCCGATGCAGAATTTCTCGGCTGGCGCTGTCCTATCCCACCAACGAGCCTGAAGAAAGACATTGTCTTGTGGAGAGACGTCTTATGTGTCTGGGTTGTTTCGATCTGGCAGGGCTGCAGGTGTGCGGCCCGGGGGAGGGAAGACCAGCGTGTGCGATAATAAAGACAGAAAGTTCGTCTCGTCTGCGGCATCTTGTCTCCCCTTTCTTGGTCAACTGTTCTTTTCTCTTACATCAGCCAACACCACTACCATGGCGGCGATACTACCGACAGCGTACCCGGATGCGAGGCAGCAAGCCCAGAATGGGGCGGCGGTGGAAAACATCGACCACTCTCTCGACGGAGAGTCCAGATTCGGCGAGATCGTTGCTATCCTCATCGTCGGCTCGGTACTATCATCAGTCGCGGTCGGACTCAGGGCGTTCACGAGACTATGCATGCTTCGGACGTTTGGTATGGATGACATGGTCATGATAGCGGCACAGGTAGGCCGAAGGTTCTCAATACCGACCTGTACAGGACGAAGAAGCTGATGGGGTTTGCCAGGCACTTGCACTTGGTTCTGCAGTAGCTATTGGACTGGGTGAGTCGATTCATCATCCGATATGATGGTGTGCAGCATTCTGATGATCAACCAATAGAGGGACAGTACGGCCTTGGATCTCACTCATGGGTACCACCTCCCGAGGACTACGTCCCATACATGAAGGTACATTACCTCGCTCTGACATCTTCTTGGAGACAGTGTACTCATAGTGTTGTTAGTCCTTTTACAGCTCCGTCGTTGTGTACAACATCGCCATCTGCCTCGTCAAGATTTCGATTCTCTTCCAATACCGCAGAATCTTTGCCAACGAGATCATGCAAAAATTAACCATGGGAGGGCTGATTTTCATGGGGCTCTGGACCTTCACGCTTTCCATCCTTCTGCCACTAGTGTGCTACCCAGTCGCCAAGTTCTGGGACGACAGCATAGACGGCAAATGTCTAGACTACCTGACGATATGGTACGCGATGGCAGGCGTCAACCTGGTGTCCGACTTCGTCATCTTCAGCATGCCCATTCCCGTCATCAAGTCGCTCCAACTCCCACGCCGACAGAAGCGCATGCTGCTCCTGGTGTTCGGCCTCGGATTCTTGTAAGTCAGACGAACTAAGCAGCTGCAGGTGTGAGCGCACAGGATGTATGCTAACGTCGATCTGTGTCACAGTACCTGCATCATCTCCGCCCTTCGGATCCGAACCCTCCGCGTCGCAGCCGATACCAAGGACCCGTACTGGGACAACGTGGATGCAGCCACATGGTCGTTCCTGGAAGTCACCATTGGAATCCTAGCAGCATGCCTGCCGACTCTCCGACCGATCTTCGTCTCCCTTCTGCCTCGAATCTTCAACGGGTCCTCTTTCCATGGCAAGAGCAGCGGCAGACCATCGAGATACGCAAACCCCTATGTGCAAGCGAGCCACAACGACAGAGCCACCGGTCCGCTGTACAAGAGCCAGCAGCCGCCATCATCAAGCAGCACGGAAGGCCTGAACCACAATGAGGACATCGAAATGGGCGCTCGCGAGGCCGAGTCATCAAAGGACTACACAGTCACCGTGACTGCCAGCAGATCAAAGAGCCCCGAGAACAAGCTTAACCGGCTGAAGAGCCAACGAGACTCTGCTGAGAGACAGGTTATCGGACAGATCATGACAACAACAGTTGTGACACAAGAGGTGACGTTTGAGCGACCGACGAAGTCTTGAAGAGGACGGGAAGAGAATGAGCATGATGTTGAATGATTGAAGCCAATGACTAGAATAATTAACAGTAGTAATTTCTTGTGTTGATTGAACTGCCGCAACACCACGGTAACGTTACGGTGAACTTCCGTGTGCATTCAAATTTTTCATCGCGGCTAGATAACGGAGATGGCCTAGATTCTTGTACGAGCTCCCGAATGCGGGTGCCTAGATCATTCACGAAACCGAGGATGAAAGACATTGCGATATTCCGCAGGAAGAACTTTGGGAAGAATTGTGGGCAAAGCGGACAGAAGAACAGGCAGCCATTTTTGGGCCAATTAAGCTTACATGGACAGCGAGCAGCCCACTTCACCTTCCATGTCCAGCTTAGAGAGCGAATCCCACCAGCAATAATCCGGCATAAAAGCCCAGTTCTGTACATCGCCCCGCTCCGCGTGCACTCCGCCAAGCACACCGGGCCGAGCTGCTTGGCTGCCTCCGTCTCCCGACCCGGGGTTCGGATTCTGATGCAGGACATCAACGGGAGCGGAAGAGGCTTAACTCCCCGATTGTTGCCGGTAGTTGAAGGATCGCGACCAGGGTCGTTGAAGAACCGTCGCTGAGGACTTCGCGATAGACGTTCTGGATGCCTTTCGCGGTTTTGGCTGTTCCCCACTCCCCCTTTCATAAGTCCCATCAACCCTGGGCGTTCGGGTCCACGATCACTTCATGCACACTTGACGGGTGCCATAAGGGCACCTCGCTTACTATCTTCATGAGTCTAGAGTTCTTAAGACTTAATCTTAAAAAAAAATTAAGCCTAAGTGATCATGAGGTCTTCGGCTGGAGCAGTCCGTAAACAGGCAGCAGTTAATGGTGGTGGGTGGGTTCTGTTGATTCTTCACACCACTTACCTTAAGTCGAGGTTGACATGATCATATAAAACTGTTTGGCCGTATCATTTAGCATTCTTCTCTGATGCCGTGATCGACACCGACGACAAGCACGCACATACAACACCATGTATTGGTGGACAACCGCTCTGCTTCTTGCGGGCTCCGGCTTGCTCACAGAGACCGTCGCCTTTCCCGCAAACTTCGACCACCGTCGCGATGACGCTCCCATCGAATCGCATCCGTTCGCGGACTTTGGGCCAGTCGGACCCTCTGTCGTGAAGCGCGCTGACAAGCCTGATTTGCGCATCTTGCCGCTCGGGGCGTCCATCATGAGCGGTGTTGGATCCAGCAATGGCAACGGGTATTGACAAAGATAACGCGTTCTATGTTGTCCGTCAGCTAATATGTTCCAGCTTGAGGAAGCCTCTGAGAGATGCCCTCCGATTCGACGGTTACGAAGTTGACATGGTCGGCGGTAGAAACTCGGGAACCATGAAGGACAATGTGCGTTACCTCAGATGTTCATCGCGACTCAGCTACTAATGTTGTAACAGGACCATGAAGCTGTTCCGGGAGATATTCTCACGGAAATCCGCACGCGGCTCCAGCACGCTCTCGGATACAAGGTAAGTGCCGGCACTTGAATCATTTTTGGCCGCGCAATCAGCTAATTCCCGACAAGGCCAACGTGATCATTATCAACGGAGGCACGAACGATGCAGTGCGAAACATTGACACCGGAAACGCGTACAGTCGAATGAACGATATCCTTAACGACATCTGGAACTCCGAAGACATGGGCGAATCCTGTGTTATCCTGTCCACTCTCCTGGACACATCGGACCCAACCGGCACTGTCCAGCGAATCACGATCAACAACCAATACCGAACACTGGTCAACGACAGGAAGGGCGATGGCAAATGCATAGTCTTGGCTGATATGGATCCCGAGGAAGGATCGCAGCATGGATGGATCGACGCTTGGGAAAATTGGAGAGACTACACTGACAACGAGGACCCTCATACGCACCCCAACGTAAGGCTCAATCACGAACCAGCTCTTGTGACTTTGGCTAACAGCAGACTTCCAGGACGAAGGGCATAAAAAGATGGCGTACATCTTCTACAAGGGCATTCTCAAAGTTCTTGCGACCGGCCAGGTCATGCCGCCATCCACTGAGTTTGAGGTGGCTGATCCAGTCTGCGACAAGTTTTCTGGCACCGGCCTCAATCCTGGTGGAAAGACGCAAAGAGGCACTGGCAACGACGACGACGTCTACCGTCACTACAGCGAAGAGATGGGAGTGAGTGAAGTCACACGAAGCCTGTATTTGAATGTCGGCTAACCCGAGAAGATCGTCTGGACTGCCGAAAGCGAGTGGGATCGAGACCAATGGCGATTCGCCCGGCTGTACTCGAACAAGTACGACGACTTTGTTGCATGGGTCAAAGTCAGCAGCACCGAGAACGTCTTTGCTGTTTGGTGAGTTGGGACGAACTCCTTCTTTTGGGTGTTATCGGCTAATACCCTACAAGGGCAAACTCGGCAGACGGAAAGGGCAACTTCGCCCAGGTTTCTGACCTCTCTCCGGGCATGTACTGCGAGCCTGCCGGCCAATACTTTATTGACATGAACGGTGACGGCCTAGACGACTTCGTATGCATCGACAGCAAGGGCAACGCACACCTGTCGATCAACAACGGCGACGGCAACCGATCAGCAGGGAAGCCACCTTCATTTACGGCTCTCGGGCAGATCAAGACTGCCGAGACTTCGAGTCGATCCAACGTGCGCATGGGTGATATCGATGGCGATGGACGCGGCGATTACATTGTCATCGATAAGCTCGGCACTGTCACTGTCTGGCGCAACGGCTGGGTCGACGATAAGCCAAAGTATTGGCAAGCCCTGGGTACTCGATGGACCGATCAATACACTCGGGACATCACGGGAGTTCAATTCCACGACATCAACGGAGATGTAAGTTCGGCCTGCTTTTGATTTGAGAACGTGTGAAAGGATTGGGACTAAGTGCTCGCTTAGGGACGCGATGATTGGCTTTGGACCGACAAGACTGGTGCCACAACAACCTTCACCAACAGCCGCTCTTGCAAAAGGGGAGTGGAAGGAAACGGCCTCAACGTCGCCTGGCGCCAGGGCTTCTTCGAAACCGAAGGCACCGGTCCTACGCACAAGGGTGTTCCTGGCTATGTCACCAAGGACGAGTCTGATCTGCGCAAGCGAGTTCATTTCGCTCGAGTCTACGGTGGCTCCTCCTCTTTCGGCAACCTCTCCCTGAAGGACTACGTTTTCCTCGAACACACAAAGCTCTCGAACGGAAATCACAGCTTCAAGATGCGCATCTGGAAGAACACTGGTGGTGGCGCATCTAAACTAAAGATGGATGGTAACAAGTACTGCAACATGGTCGGGCACGAAGACGGCCGTTCTGACTACGTTTGGGTGTGGTCTAACGGCAAGATGGAGCTCTTCATGAACCGAGGCAAGAAGGCTATCTCCGACAATGACGCTGAAGGGTTCTGGGACTGGTCGCCCGGTGTGATCTGGACGCCCCCTTCAGCGATGCATCGACTAGACCTACACCTCGCGGACTGGGATGGTGACGGCGCATGCGACATTATCTACGTCAACCCGGAAACAAACGCGCTCAGAGTCTTCATCAACAACTATCCCAAGTCAAACAAGTGGGAATTCAGCGAGACCTCCGCCCCGAGCCCAGGTTGTGGGGAGAAGAGAGGAGTTGGTATCAACGACTGTAGGTTTTCAAAAACTCTGTCTGAGATGACAATGGGTGCTAATTAGACTAGTGGCCGTCCGTTTTGCGGATCTGACGGGCAACAAGCGAGCCGATTTCCTATGCCTCCGTCCAGATGGATACGTCTCGGGAGCTCTCCACCAAAATGACGGAAGCTTCAAGGACGTTGGCCAGATCAAAGTCGCCGAGGGCCATGACCGGGCGATGTTGCGCTTTGCCGATGTCAACGGCGATGGCAAGGACGACTTCCTGTGGATCGAGAAGTTCTCGGGCGACACGTTTGTTTGGTACAATGGTGGCGAAGACAGCAGCCGGCCTCTGGGATCTGCGTTTTACTGGCGCCAGCAGACCGAAAAGGCTTATGCTGGTCTCGCTGCCGGCACTTGTCTCTTCTATACCGACCTTTCGGGCGACTGGCGCGCTGACGAGCATTACGTGCTCGAGTCCCTCAACAACATTGCCGAGACGTCGTTCAGCCCGGCATGTGGTCTGAGCAACGTCGAAGGCGATGATCCTGAGGGAGTGGTCGACCCTCAACTCCCCGTGAGACCGGATGACAACGGCGACGACGAGGTTCCCGACGGCGTTTGTGCCTACCCGATCCTTGGCACGACGCAGTTGACGCTCCAGAATACCTGGGAAAAGTCAGGCGCTGCTGACCATCTGAACAAGTATTTCAAGACGCATGGTACGGATGGCTGGTCGACAAACTACTTGTACGACATTCTTGGTACGCAGCATGACTGTGGCGACATCTTCTCAACAACTTGCACGCCGCCAACTTCGCAATGCTCCACGTACGACCCCAATGAGGCATTCTTTGTCCACCAGCAGATTGCCAACTTGCACAGCGGAATGTTCAAATGGTGGGGCATGATGGTCAACGACAGCGTCAGCGCTCTCGGCAGCGACATCACCGACATTGTGGATACGTACGGCACCCCCAGTGAAGACCCCGTTACCACGCTGAACATGCTCGTCGGCCTCTTCACCAGCCTGGCGGGGATAGCGGGAACGATCGGAGACGCTTTGCCTGGAACCACGGCAGCCGGCCTCGGGAAGTTTGTCAACCCGATGACTTTGATAGCCGGTGTCATTGCCATCACCGCCACCAACGACTTGAACGAGCCCACGATTGACCCTGAGGACCTCGAAAAGAACCTGAAGAAGAGCTACAGCCAGATGTTCTCAGCAATTTCGGACAGGGCGAGGAGTACTCTTGAAGCCACGTTGAATGGAAAGCCGCTTTCCGGGGAGATGCTCGAGAGAGCCGGCGTGGCTTCAATGCAGGAGTATATCCAGCACCAATTCGCTGATGGCGCATGGTTGAGTTCAGAGTTGATTGGCGACTTGGTGGATGCCATGGCGCAAAACGTTTTCCAGAAATTTGTAAGTTTCTTCTCAATGCCGTCATTATATTTGATGCGGGAAATCGCTTACTGACGAGTCGCGCAGAGAGAATATGCCTTGGTCAAAGCTATCAAGACCAACAACAAGAGACAGTACATCTTCCTCGTCACTGGACCGAAAGCGAAGGTAGTTTACAACGTAAGTCATGTTCGCGTCATCAAACGGGCTGAAAAGCTGACCACACGCCGCAGAATGAACTGGTCTACATGAGTCAAGAGGCCTGCGAATCAATGTCAGCCCGTGTTTGGCACGATGATGTAAGTTGCCCCCACAGACACGAAGTACGCGCGATTCCTAATCATCTTTCAGTTGTGCCTTGCGATGGGGTATACCGAAATCAACGTTGCCGATAAGCAGGTCTGGAAGACTATCGGAGACACGGAAGCCGACGGCATGAAGCAGTGGATCAAAGACTTCCGAGCGGCCATGGTCAACAACTACGAGTGCTACAAAAAGAAGGGCTCTGATGGCAAGCTGGATGATCCGGAGTTTCCGAAGCCTTTTGATGCGGGTGCCACGATCGAATATCCGCAATGCTTTTGGAACATTTGGTCTCATGAAGATCTTGATTAGGGGAAAGGGGATGGTGGATTACGGCTAAACGCCCTTAATCTTCTTTGTATATATTTCAACTCTGCTTCGCGCACTCTTTTGACTTTCGTTTGTCAAATAATACATAATATCCATGTATCATTTACACAGGACATGCTTAGCTTCTCCGGTTCTCGCGTACAGTGACACGTCAGCGCCGTATCCACGATCCTTCATTTCTGGTACTGGAGTCTGGCTCACTGACCAGCTCATCATCACAAAAGACTTCCCAGACTTGTGCATTCACAGAGGCCTCTCGGGAACCCAGACTATGGCTCGTTCTTCCGCCATTCCGTCTCACCCCGGCTTTCTGCTAGCGAGTTAAAGGTCAGCCGTGTCTTGGCAACCTCGACGATGACCTGGGTAAGTGGGAGCCGTCGCAAGTTATCCCGAAGATTCCCCTGCGCTCCCGAAGATGTCCCGCCATGGCTTGTATGTGAGTCTGGTAATAACCGGCACGACAACCGACGCAATTACTATAAAAGAAATATATTTGACTAATGTTTCTTTTCCAATTGCAATGCAAAGCTTACGAATACTCTTTTCCGTGCCACATAATGGTATTGGGAGCGAGTGCCGCAGTCGCCGAGACTGTGGAATCCCCTTGCGACGATGTAGGGCGTCATGTAGGGCGCAACGACTACGAGAAGATGCTATCTGGTCAGCCGTGAGTCCCACATGTAATGCATTTGTCGTCTCTGCTGACAAATATAAGGCACGACTGTTTAGCCCCAGCACTGATCGACTTGAGAAGACGTGCGTGTCGGAGAATACTCAAGTATAACAACACCCTCTCTCCAGAATCTTCGCCTGTGGCAGAGCCTTCTTTTCGAGATACTCTGCTTCGAGAGATTTTTGGGAAGACTGGTGAGTCCCCATGGGTTGAACCTCCTTTGACAGTTGGCTACGGCTGCAACATTGAGGTCGGAGATGGCTTTCTCGCTCAATCGAAGTAAGTCACCCCCTCAGCCATTTCTTTCCAGCATTCCACAAATACTGACCACGACAGTCTCGTGATTCTCGACAGTGCAATGGTCAAAATCGGCCACCGCGTTTCCTTCGGCCCATCTGTTACGATCATGACGGCGACGGAAGGCAAGGGGTCCGGCGATGCATGGCGGAGGCAGTGTGCTCAGCCAGTCTTCATCGGAGACGACTGTTGCATCGGCGCAAACGTAACCATCTTTCCAGGAGTATCAATTAGAAGAGGCTGCAAGATTGCTGCTGGAAGTTTCGTGCGAAACGACATACCAGATTTATCAGTTGCACTGGGAGGACCGGCCAAAGTTGCGCCAAAGACGTCGAATTTGGGTTGTCGATGACTCTCAGAAGCTGTCTTTTCTACCACCAAAGAACTTCATGGTAGCTGGCCCACGAAGCTGTCCTAGTCGGATGCGACAGTTGGCGAAGCGACAGCCGATGGACCTTGGTCGCGTGACGACTAAGGAAACTCGCTGCCATCGGCAACTTTTCAGAGCCTCCATCGCGGGTTTCTCCGCTGTTGAGCTGATGCGGTCATGCCGACATCTGGGCTGATCAAGAAGCTCTTGACATTCGCTTGGTGGTGGGCCTCCTAGCGAGTCTGTCGGCCCTGCATTCCGCCAGAAGTGGGCCAAAAGGAATACGGGATTCTTCCCGAGCGCTCGCCCAGCATTGTCTTCCGGACTTCAGCCGAGACAGACGCGGGCCTGGTCAATAGCTACCAGGGGTGCTTTGTCTTGGGCAATTCTCCGCTTGGTCTTCAGTTAGCTTTGGTGTTCAGGGGTACGCGGTCTTCCTCTGGACCGCGACTCACGCGTCTCTTGGCTTCGCTGGGCGGATGCCGCGACACCCAGATCTACGGCCCGTTCTATCTCCGGATGTAGCTATTCGAGTACGAACAGAACGGCGCTGTTCCGAGGGCAGCTTCCGAGCCTGATTGTCCATGAAGTACCCGATCCGACCTGACGGTAGCTTGGCGCTGAGTGGCTCGATGTCGCCAGCCCAGTCTGGAGGAGTCAAAAGTGGAACAGTATGTCTTCTTGGGCATGAATTACCGTTTGAGCGCATGATGGTCGCATCGCTCCAGTAAGTTGTAGTCTTTAGAATGAGATTCACATGAAATGTTTCGGCCTAGAGCGCTGACTATGGGACTCTAGACCAGCAAAAGCCGCCCATTACTAGCCAAGTTGAATGGACGCAGCACTGCCAACACCACGATGAGCTAGCTGACATCGCAGCCGTCGCAACATATCCGTTAGCGATGACACAGAAATCTTGTATAATTATCCTACTTATGTCTCGGACTCTCGCACAACCCGAATCGATGGTTGCTGAGGGCGACAGTCCCCCGACCTGACCATGTTGGCGCTTCCAGCTGCCATTCGATGCTACGCCAAGCTAGAAGGGCCGTATGTCGACCCCGGTCTGCATCGTGGAGACCCCACAAGCTGACATCCACACCTAAGGTGAGCGGCATGGCATCGTGCCCCCTTTACCGCAGTCCGCGCGCAGCAATTGCGATGTCTAGAACCTGTGTCCCACTGAAGTTGCGATGGGGGTGGAATCTCTGGGGTTGGATGGATTCTCCGGGGCTGGGCCACAGTGTTTCGGGCAACCCACTCGCTGGTTCAACTCTGACGACATGAAAGCCAACAGTGGTACGGTTTCTTGGCCTCGGCCGCGTCGTTACCCAAGAGGCGGCTACGATTTAAGTGCGGAGCGCTCCCTCAAACTTCAAGCCGACGCCGTTTCGCTTGTCACCAATCTTATCGACTTTCCAAAATCCTTCCGTGTTGTTTGGCGACCCCCACATCAGCGTTGACATGAAGCAGCCGTCAGGTGGAGAAGCCAAGGCCGTTGGTCATGAATTGGCCAGTGTTCTTCCCAACGATGGCATTCCATGGTGGAAGAAGAGCCACCTGATCAAGCTCAACTTCTGCATCGTCTCCTTCATGCTGTTCACCAGCTCGAACGGCTTCGATGGCTCTGTCATGAACGGTTTCTTGGCCTTGTCTCAGTGGAAAGACTTCATGGGCAATCCCACAGGCGCATGGCTTGGCTTCATCAACGCCATGTACTCTCTCGGAGCCGTCATTGGCTTTCCGCTCACCGCAATGCTTTGCAACCGCTGGGGCCGCAAAATCGGCCTTTGGCTCAGCGTGTTCATCTCCTTGGTCGGCACTGCACTGCAAACCGCTGCTCCGAATCAAGCCGCGTTCATTACCGCCCGTTTCTTGATGGGTGTTTCCCAGGGTCTTTCGGTTGGAGCGCCCCTGTTGATCGCCGAAAACGCGTTCCCCACGCACCGTGGAATTGCTTCAAGCATGGTCGGTCAAGCGATATCTTTGGACTTGATCTTGAGTCACCTAAGCTAACGAGAGAAAAGTACAATTCGGGCTGGTACGTCGGTGCAATTGTTGCTGCGTGGGCGGTACGTCGTTAACTCTGTTCATTCGTCTCATGCAGCTAAAGACTAATGTGTGATAGACCTTTGGCACAAGGAACATGGAGGGCTCAGCAGCCTGGCCAGCGCTCCCCGCAAAGCAAGTAAACTTGTCAAGTTCAATCAATCAATTAATTAATTATAAAGCTATCGCTAGTCAATTAAGTTAAGTTTAAGGCTTAAACTTAATTAATTACCTTAACTCTTTTAATAGGGGGGGAGGGGGGCTACTAGGGCTTATAGGGCCTTATAGGGGGGCCTTAGGGACCCGGAAAAGTCCGGAAAATCGTTAATCTAGCCCGACTCTCGGCCCCGAAAACCCGGCTCCGGGGCCCCCCTTTTAGCCCCCCTTCCGGCCCCCCTTCTGGGGGCCTCCCCTCCGGGGGCTACCCTCCCGGGCCCTAACCTTCCGGACCCTACCCTCTAGAGCCCTCCCCTCTAGAGCCCTCCCCTCTAGAGCCCTCCCCTCTAGAGCCCTCCCCTCTAGAGGGCCCCCCTCTAGCCCCCTCTAGGACCCCCCCTCTAGAGCCCTCACCTATATATGGGGAAATTTGCCAATTAATTGCAATTAATTAGTAATCAATCAAGTATAGCATCGCGATGTGGCAATCAAGTCAATTATGGGCCTCAAACTTGATTGATTGCCTTGGGGTGGGCGCTGAGCCTGGCGTATTCCCTCTGGCCTGATGGCGCTTTTACCCTTGATGACTGTGCCTGCTCTGTTTCTCATGGATGAGTCCCCCCGATGGCTGGTATCTATGGATCGCGCGGACGAGGCAAGAATGAATCTTGCTAAGGCCCACTGCGGTGGCGATATCAATGCACCTCTTGTCACATTCGAAATGGTCGAGATTGAGGAGACTCTGAAGGCCGAAAAGCTTGCTAATGAGAGCACTTCCTGGGCTGACTTGTGGTCTACTCCGGGAAATCGTCATCGCCTTTGGATCTCTGTCTCGCTGGGCATCTTTGCCCAATGGTCTGGTAAGTCAAGTACCGGTTCAAGTCACTACACAGAATGGGACTAATAAGAGCATCGTGTAGGAAATGGAGTGGTATCGTATTACTTGGCGATCATTCTGGAGTCTGTCGGTATTACCTCAGTCACGGATCAGACACTCATCTCCGGATGCCTTCAGATCTGGAATCTTATTTGGTCCGCGGCGGCTGCCATCTGCGTCGACAAAGTTGGGCGCAAAGCTTTGTTCATGGCTAGTGGTATCATCATGCTCGTCTCGTACATCATTGTAACGGGTCTATCGGGAAGCTTCGCGACGAGCGGGAATGGTCCCACTGGAATTGCAGTTGTTCCATTTTTGTTCATGTAAGTCTTAACGCGTTCTACCTCTATTTTGATTCTATGCTAATGTGTCTACAGCTACTTCCTTGGATACGATATCGCCCTCACACCCCTGGTGATCTCATACCCCGTCGAGATCTGGACGTACCAAATGAGAGCTCGCGGACTGGCAGTCTGCCAAATGGTCTCGCTTGGGGCCATCTTCTTCAACACCTTCATTAACCCCATCGCCCTGGACGCCATTCAGTGGAAGTACTATTTTGTCTTCGTTGCGATTTTGGTCGCAATGCTGGTGACGGTGTGGTTCACTTACCCTGAGACTCGAGGACGAACACTCGAAAGCATCGCCTGGCTGTTTGATGGAGATGAGGCAAACGTTGGTATTGCCACCGCTGAGAACACACTCAAGAGCACCAACCAGCATATTGAGGACCATACTACGGACGAATCTCAGGAAAAGCAGTGATTGAGATTGCGGAACACTCGAAGAACTAACACATGCAACCACGCATGACGTGCAGCAATTACAAATCAGAGTTGGCGATGTTTCTGTAGAAGGCAGAGTCAAGAAAAAGGCTTGATTAAATTCCATTTTCCGAGTTCCTCTTAATAATGCTTCTATGACACGGCCAAGTGTTACAGGTCTTTTTGTAAAAGCACTCAGGCTCTAATCTGCCTATCTGAATCTTCCTTTCTCTTGTTCGCGCCTCTGAAGCCATCAGCTTGGGAGAACCAGCTTACCATCAGCATCTAGATATTCCTTAGCAATCACATCAACTGCTCGTCTCAGCCTCGTCACAGATTCTCGGATCTCTTGCTCGGTGACAATGAAAGGTGGCGATACCACAACTGAATCCATCTTCCAAGTTCCGGGGAACCCCATGTTCTTCAGCACAAGAACGCCCTGGTTCTCGACCGCTTCATCCACCACTCGATGTGAAAAGTCGTCGCCCATCGGGAAAGGTGTGCGCGTCGCCGGATCGCGCATGAACTCAACAGCCCACAGGAGCCCACGACCGCGGATGTTGCCTGTCAGTGGGTGTTGACCGAGCTCTTCGTGCAACAGCCTCCCAAGAAGCTCGCCCTGCTTTCTCACATTTGACAGAAGGGCTTGCTCCCTGATGATCTTCTGAACTGCGAGCGCGGCCGCGCATGATGTCGGATGTGCCTGGAATGTGTGTCCGCCTGCCAGCGCGCCTTGTGGCGTTGCAATCGCGTCGAAGATGCGTTGGTGAACTAAGACTCCAGAAACCGGGATAAAACCACCACCAAGCGACTTTCCGATCATTTGCAGATCAGGCCCGCTAATTTCTTCTTGCTGCCAGGCGTGAAGCGTGCCTGTCCTACCCATCCCACATAGAACTTCGTCAAGGACCAGCAATGCCCCATACTTGTCGCATATCTCTCGTACAGCCTTGAAGTAGCCCTTGACTGCAGGAACGGAGGCAAGTGTTGATCCTGCAACGGTTTCGGCGACAAAGGCTGCGACCGTGTCAGGCCCAAGACGCTGGAACTCTGCCTCAAGCTGGTTTACCAGTCGCTCGAGATATGCTTCGTCAGACTCTCCGTTGAGCTTGCCGCGATAGGAGCAGCAGGCATCCACGAACGACACATTCTCAGACATCCAGTGCCGATAGATGTCACGGCGGCCCTCGTGTCCTGTGATACACAAAGCACCAAGGGTATTGCCGTGATAGCTCTGCTTCCGTGCGATGAAGTTGATACGTTGCTTCTCTCCCTTTGCAGCCCAATACTGAGTAACCAGCTTCAGCATAGCCTCGGTCGCTTCACTGCCTGAACCTAGGAAAATTGCTTTGCTGAGACCACCAGGATTGCCTTCAAGTATGTACGAGGCCAGCTCTTCCGTTGTATCTTCACAAAACCCGCCACCTGAGAACAGGTAGCCTAATTTGCTGAGTTGTTTGGTAACTGCTTCAGCTACCTCAGGTACATTATGCCCAAGACAGGCTACTCCAGGCCCTCCCGTGGCGTCGATAATAGTTCGCCCGTCATCGAGGGACAAAGTCGTTCCCGAAGCTGAGACTATGCGCAGAGGCTTTTGAGAGAAGGAGCGGTGGAAGATGCTTGAAGTTTGGAAAAAGTCGTTCAGAGCCATTGTGGAAGCCCGAGAATATAGTTCATGAATGCCGTTCTTTTGCAAGTCAAGGGCTTCGGCCTGAGTATGTTGCCAGGGTTGGCAAGTTTTAAGGAGACTGGAGAATGATAATCTCGATGTCAATCAAATTTATCATCTGAAAGGCAGAGCGATGTCGGTGAGTGAACAGAACTGCCGCAAGGCTCCATGGACATCGAAGTCATAATTTAGATGGGGAGTTGCTTCTGCCACCGGCGATCTTAAGGCCCTCCCGACAACAGCCAATCAAAAAATGCGCGCCGGAACCGCTCTAGATCTGGGGTAAGCTCTTAGTGTTGGGCACCTGCTGGCAAGGGGAGCCTTGTCGCTGATGACATGCTTTATCGTGCGAGATACGACCCCAGCTGTACTTTTATCGCATCAGCCAATCATAAAATGCCCGCCAGAACCGCCCGGCTAAACGCAGGCGGGAATGCCCTCAATTCTGCAGCCCGTGTAGACTAGGGAAAGGTCTTCACCGCGATACGGTGACTGCTTTGACCGCTTTTGGAGAATCGGGGTTGATGACCGACAGCTTAGGTTTAGAGGACGAGGGGCTGACACGGCTACTCGATTCTAAGGAGCAATGTTGGTAACGTTCAGGAAGCATCTCCGATAAAGCGGAGCAAACTTATCTGCACTGCAAGGAAGGGGCTCCGGCCTGAACTGTACCGAGAGATAAGACCTAGAACCACACTACGCCGTATCGCTCAACACTTCAATTACTTATTCGAATGTCCTCATGAGACGTGAATTCCGCCACCGTCGTGAACCATATGTACCTTAGATGAACACTTTTCCCCTTCTTTCTTTTGGTCTTCTGCTTTGACCCAAGCGATCAACAACGTCTTGGTGTCTTGGCTCGTAAAGCAACTCAGGTCTGGTCGTTGGGCAAGACTGAATGACGTCCGTCGATATGTCTGACTCACTACGTATACCGCATGAGGGTTCTCTCGAACAAAAAAGAGCCATGGACAAGGCAGGCCCGCAAGTTGACTTCGAAGACGGCGATGTCCAGAGTGGCCATGTGGACGCATCCGACCACACCCACCGAAGACTGAAGCCCCGGCATATTCAGTTGATTGGGATCGCTGGCACGATCGGCACTGCGTAAGTACCCACGAATTTACCTGACAGGCAAAATAGTTCTCTCTAACATGGTTGACGATAATAGGCTATTTGTCAATATTGGAAAGGGATTGCTGAGTGGCGGTCCAGCAAGTCTGTTCATAGCGTATTGCTTGTGGTACGAGCGTATCTTTCACGAATTATCCGTAACCTCGAGCTGATAGATACAGGTGCCCCGTTGTGCTTTCTATTTCCCTCTGCATGTCAGAAATGGCGACGTATCTCCCGGTCTCTTCACCTTTTATTCGCTTTGCTGGCCGTTTTGTCGACGAATCTTTCGGCGTTGCAGCGGGCTACAATTTCTTTCTATTTCAAGCATCGCTATGTGAGCAAAGCACTCCAATCAGTCCTCCTGACTTAGTGCTAACATACTCATGGTGCCATTTGAGATCACCGTCTGCAATGTCGTGATACGATACTGGACCGATGCCATACCAGTTTGGGCCGTCTGCCTCGTCTTTCTTGCGCTCTACGCCATCCTCAACTTTGTCGCGGTCAAGTTCTTCGGCGAAGCAGAGTTCTGGCTTTCCCTCGGAAAGGTCATTCTTATTGTTGGCCTAATCTCCTACACATTTGTCGTCATGGTTGGCGGTAACCCAAGGCATGATACTTTCGGATTTCGCTACTGGTACGACCCTGGTGCATTCCAGGAACTCTATCGGGAGGGCTCTCTCGGCCGCTTTCTTGGGTTCATGTACTGCCTCATCCAAGCTGCTTTCGTCATCGCTGGTCCTGAGTACGTCTCGATGACCGCAGGTGAGGCCGAGAACCCAAGAAAGGTCCTGCCGAAGGCGTACAGGTCGATATTCTGGCGACTCACAACTTTCTTCGTTCTCGGATCTCTTGCTGTTGGCATCGTTGTGCCGTCTGATGACCCAAAGCTGAAAGAGGCGTACTCGAGCAGCAAGGGAGGCGCCGCTGGATCACCATATGTGCGGTCGATGGATATTCTAGGCATTCCTATCCTGCCTCACATTGTCAATGCCTTGATCTTGACATCCGCCTTCAGTGCCGGCAATAGCACAACATACTGCGCAACACGAACTCTGTACGGCATGGCTCTCGAGGGCAAGGCCCCTCGCTTCCTAGCCAAGTGCAACAAAGCCGGCGTGCCTTACTACTCCGTTGCGGTTGTCATGTGTTTCGGCGGTCTCTCCTTCCTGCAGGTTTCCAACTCGACAGCGGTGGTTCTCAATTGGTTCGTCTCTTTGGTCACAGCCTCCCAGCTGATCAACTTCTGCGTCATCGCCTTCACCTTCACACGTTTCATGAAAGCATGCAGCGCCCAAGGAATTTCCAGAGACTCACTGCCTTATAAAGCACCGTTCCAACCCTACACGACTTGGTTTGCGTTCACTTGCTGTTCTGTCATGGTCCTAATCGCTGGATACAGCATCTTCATCGACGACAACTTCACTGTCCCTGATTTCCTCTTTCAATACATGATGGTAGGCGTGTTTCCGGTGGTGTTTGCTTTCTGGAAGGTATTGAAGAAGACGAAGTGGCTGAAGCCCACCGAGGTCGACCTTACGACCGGCGTATGGGAGATTGATGTTTACACGGAGAACTTTGTACCCACGCCTTCAAAGACGGCGTTTACACGGGCGCTGGACAAGGTATTTAGTTAGGTAAGCGTCTGGATAGAAAGGTCGCGAACATGTGGTTACTTGAGGTAATGTTGCAACAATTGCTGCCAAAATGAAGATCTCTCTATCGATAGCCGTCGGTGAGAGATGTGATATCAAACGATGGAAAGCTTCCACTGCCTCCTATCCAAAACATCGCGCCAATCGACCTCCTTATTTGATAATCGAAGTTGCCAAAGCTCCTCGAGAACTCTCAGCGCGCAGTCGTAGTTGTAAAGATGCCGGGATACCACGATTGACTTCATCTTCGTTCTTATCGCCTCGATGTCGTCCGGGTGGCTGATCTCTCCACCGCAGATGAAAAGGGGAAAGAGCAACGAGCTCTCAACAAGGCTCTTGTGGGGAATCTTGCGTAGTCTTTCAATGATACCATGAGCCAGCGAGGGGGCCTTGGTCTGCAACTCAGTGCTGCCTGGAAAGTTGCGACGCACTACTCGATGAAGATGAAGTAAGGCGGCATCACGGTACATCTCGGCAAGGTCGACTAAACCCTCAGACTGGTCAGCGGTGTCGTATTCCCAATACAGCAACTCTTCTTCCAGCCTCAGCGCCCTCTCTCGACAAGCACTCTGGACGAAGTCCTCCTGAAGATGCGACTGCATCATATCGGCATTGAGCACGCTTGTCTCCGAGATCAGGAACAGTAGCCGAGACCCAACTCCGAATAAGCTGTCTGGGGGCTCCCTCTCTCCAAAGAACCAATAATGCCCTGCCACCAGGAGAGGCCGAGTATCTGCGGCCACAGCCGCCATGATGTCGTGGTAAGCGAAACTGCGTAGAAGCCATTGGCCCTCGAAGGAGCAAAACGAAGTGGTATCCCATGTTGCATCTCCCTTGTCGCAAACAGACCGCATCACTTCATTCGCGCCGATGAGATGTGTAAACCATTGCCTGGTGTCGCCAGATATGCTTTCCAGGGCACACTGTACCAGACAACAGGCCATCTCAATCTCCGGCTCTCGCTTAGCGGATGAGATCAAGGTTGAGAGTGATCGCAACGCCCTTCCCCGGCATTGCAGAGCTAGCCTTTCGTAAGAAGCTTCCAACTGGGCCAGATGGGTCGATGACCAAGCTATGATAGTGTCGAGGAAGGCTGGCGAGTCCATGGCAAGTGGCAGGAAGACCGATATGAAGCAGTTGTTTTCCAGGTTTGTAGTGATCAATGCAGCGAGGGTTTGGGTGTAATATCGCAGCACCACCCTTCTTTGAGCCGCGAAATCTTCCGGAATCTGGGCGCCTCCATGTTGCAGCCAAAAGGCTGAGATGTCCGGAGTCTTGGTAGTCAAAGAAGCAGACGGGCCACGTGGTTCGGCGGAGGGGTCTTGAGGGACCGACTTTCGTGGGCGACCGCGTTTTCGCGGCTGTTTTAGATCCTCTCTGCGGCACATGAAATTCAGGCGGCTACATGCGCCGCAGATGGGATAGACCTGATCGCATTTCTTCTTGCTGTTCACTCATGTTGGCCAAGTCGTCGACGCGGGGAATGAACACTGAGACCCACCGATCGCGACACGTCAGGCAGCCGTTGCGTAGGCGTTTTCGCGACATGCTTGCTTCAACTTCGCTAGCCATGGTCTTGACCTATTGCTGCGGAAAGCTGATGATGCGACTGCCAATTGAAGACCAAGACTGAACGGCCAAAACACCAGACTTTGGAGGGGTAAAGTTGGGTTCATGCAAGCCTTATCATCAGCAGCCTTCGGGGCTTATCTATCTAACTAAGCGACATTGCAGCTACTGAGTCCTTTTTTCTTACTGCGCGAGGAGTCGAGCCCTGAACCTTGCGCACCTTGTTAGCTTCCACTCTCTCAGAGCCACCCACTATTGAGAGCACACGTCGAAACACAGTTGCTATCAGTAAGAGTTCTTCGCCATGTGTTTCTTTTTGATAATGCCACTCTAATTCTTTTAAACAATTATGACGCGTGGAAAGCGTTCACTCACCAGCCTCACCTAAGTACCGAACGCAGCTGGCAGGTCTTCTGGCACGCGTCGTGGCTCATTCCGGCTGACCCTAAATGGGCCTCGCCTTTCTAAGAACCGTTCTCGCACAAGTCACGGGAGATGTGCCATCCACGCTATTCTAATTCTGACGTTCAGTTACCGAATCAGCGGAAGATCTACTGTCTTAAATCCGGTGGCTTTCCACTAGGACAAGCTAGTGCCAGCACGCCCCTGGCCTTGACTAAACCAGCTGAGACGCCGGGGGCCCGAGGGATGGCATCATTGTTTCCTTGGTCTCCCTTGATATTCAAACCTTTAGTGTCAATCTTCCTTGTCTTCCTGCCAATGAACACCTGAAAGGCCCATCATCCATGTCGTGATGCCGCACTCCGCCGCCGACAGAAACCTCTGGCTGGCCTATGCCAACGCAGTCAAGGAGGCCATCCAGTTTGAGCCAACGCATGGTACTGCCCTGTACCTCTCCAGCAAGGCCCAGAAAGGACCCTTTGCTTCGCCACGGATACCTCTGGAATACACCAATGCCGGCATCTATGAAGCTGCGAATAATCATCTGCGAACAGGAGACCTTTTCTATCACCCGGCTTCTCGAGATTCTTATGTGAAGTCTCTCAGAACGTGAGTTGCTTGGCATTGAGAATAGGTAAAACTGCTTAGCTGATCACATTGTTATAGCTTTCTCCAATCAGTTGATGCCGTAAGCGAGGTCTGCCAATCCGCTGCTGAGTACGCGCTTCAACTGACATACACATCTACAGGGTGCCAGGGGTGACGTTCACATCAGTATCGAGAGCTGTATTAGGGAGCTCGAAGATAGCCTTGAGATCTACGAAAAGTCCGCGGATAAGGCTCGCCGCACATTCAAAAAGCACTCGGATGTGGGCATGACTGGTGATTCGACCTTTTCGCAATGGCACCAGACTAATGCGCCGGCGTTTTGTAACTCTATTCGAGATGTCGAGGTTGCATCTGATGCTCTTCTAGCTGCAGGAAGCGTGCTCATTGGACCACGAGCGCAGAAGTGGAATCAAGACTTGAGAAAGCTCCTGTACGCAACGATGTCAGAGCAAGAGATACCAGGGTGAGCCAGAACCAGACATTCACGATATAAGTCCTGGATCTGACAGAAAAAAAGGATGACAATGCCGATTGACATGGACTTTACCCTCAGATCAGGCGAGAAGGCTCAGAAACTGCTCAACAAAATCAAATTGCGTAAGAAGGCAGGTCCGTCAAAAGTTGTGGCTTGCGTTCCCGCATTCTATTGCCCCGACTACGAGAATGTGGTCAGGGATTGGATCGGCGCGGGCCGTCGCGATGAACCGGGTGATAGATTATATGTGCGTTACGCAGAAGGAGAAATAGCCGACGAGGGCGGGTTCGGACATGAAGAGCAGGGCAACAGTTTCAAGTTCACCTACCCACCATGGCTCTCATTCTATGTCGACGGACACGAGTTTCCTTTCAAGGCTGTCATGCAGGACAGCGACGTGGACATCACCATATCTTTTGACAACCTAAGAATTGTTAAAGTCGCCCCAGGCGCATGGTAAGTCTTCGTTAATCCACTTCATCCTTAGAAAAACAAGGTCTGAATTATCTCAACCAGGAATTTAGACAACCTTAGTTCATCATATCCTCGGATGAAGGCAGGCCTTTCTACGGACACAAAGAAGATCGCGCAGCCTCATAGACTCGTTGTGATCAATAATTTGGTCTTGAGGGTTTCATTCAGCGGTCGAGTCGTTGCAGAGGTTGCAAAGCAGCTGAACAGAATACAGTACTACGGGGGATTTCTGAATGTCTTGGGAGTCTCTGCAGCAATAGACCAAGACAGGAGCACGGATCAGACATCACATACAGCCACGTGGAATGCTGAAGATGGTGTCCTTGAGGTCATCCCAACCGTCGATGGAGGCTTCGCAACATTCATTGGGACGGTTGGCAAAGCGCTTTGAACATAATCTTATTAAGATACGACTCGACATCTACGTAGTATACTCTTGTATAACACTGCGTGGCTCGACATACCTACCAAGGGGCTTGTAATCCAGATCATATCCAAATGCCCTTGGTCCACCAATGTCTAAACCGGCCTGAGTCTCTGTCCATCTTGGCGAACAAGTGATACCGATGACCGTGACTCGATACCCGTACTTAAATTCGGGAACTCCAAGGGCTCTTCCTGACTCGTTGTCCAAGATGGAGATCAAGTCCGGAACGGCCGCCAATATGCTAGTCCTCCCATCCTCGCTTGTATGCTCAGCCAGGATGTTCTCGTTCTTGAAAGGAACCTTAAGCATTCCACCTTGAGCTACGGCAGCAGCTCGATCTTTGACACTGGCTGCTTCATCCTCGTCGCCGCTTTCGAAAGCAGCAATGTGCACCTCGCCGTAAGAGTGGCCCTTGAAGAGACGACGCTCAACACGCATGATCTTACCCCTAAATAAGACCTTGGCTGCTTCCGAGCCGCCAGCCTCCTTGATGATAGATTCGGCAACCGTGCTCATTGTGTTTGTTGCTTGGCATAGGGATATACATCTTCCGATGCGCCAAGCGAGGGACACGGTGTTGAGAACGCCGAACTTCTCGACTTTATCAGACGTGGTCGGCTTCGCAGCCATTCCTACTCGAGATCCCATCTCCGAGCAGGATGCGCGGAGAGCACGGTCGACGATCTCATCGTTGGGTGCCCTCGTCATGATGATTGTTTTGCCGTCGCCTGAGTCAATCGCACACGGAACTAATTCCAAAGGTGCATGTACTGCCAAGGTCGTTTGCCAGTAAGTCGGGTAGGCTCGCCCCATCCAGTCTCCATCAATGATGGGGCTGTCAAAGAACCTCGAGGAACCTACAAGGAAAGGTTCGAGGCCATTGGCACCACCGATCTCAAGACCCATCACTGCATCAAACTTGTCATGACGCATGTACTCCATCAATGCTCGAAACGCGTCTACTGTTTCAATAGATTGTAGCCGTTCAATGGAAACAGCAGGAGATCCCATGTGGCCTTTCATCGCAGTTAGCATCGTTCAGTATTGGCTGACATTGGCGTCAACTTACCACCCCAGTAAATAAGGTCTCTCTCCTTCAGTGAAGAAGGCTCAATGACGCGCATCGTATGTCCTTCTCGAAGCATATTCCTCAGCTGTATCTTAGAGGCTGCTGGACTTCCACCTCCAGCACAGCCGAGAACGTAGCAACCGTCGGCGAGGTAGTCCAAGTCCGTTTCGCTGATGACCCACTCCGCGATTCCGTCCTTGTTGACTTTGATGTCGGGCTTGTACGAAGCCGGATCGACCTTCTCTTCTTCCTTCGTAGCGCGGGTCAAGTCTTTGCTTGCCTCCGTTTGCTCTTCTCCAAAATCGTCGTCCCCTAGTTCACCAGCATCGTCCAGCTTCGCATGTAGATCGATATCCCCAACTGCTTTCACCAAAGTTCGGACTTGGTTGGCCACATATTGCAACGGCATTGTCTCGACCTCGGCAATTTTGATGCTTTCCGGGATAGCTCCAGCAGCAATAGCCCGCTCAATCGCTATCTTCTTGGCGTTTTCAATAGCCTGGCCTTCTGTCTGGTGGGTGGTGCCTTGCACAATGTCAACCGCACCGCAGACTCTGGCAATGGCGGCACCAACGGCATTGGCAACGTCGTGGAATGGTGGCCGAATCAACTTCGACGCTCCCTTGAGACTGTCCGGCGATAGTATGGCGCCGCCACCCACGAGGAGGACGGGGACGGGATCCGGCGACGTCTTGATGACGTCTACAGCCCCTTCAAGAAGAGCTTT